AAAAATTAAATATATATATATATATATATAATATTTATAAAATATAGATTAATATATTATAATTATTATATGTTAATATAGAATTAGTTAAAAACATGGAGAACATTATAGAAAGAGAAACCGGAAGATGTTGAAGATAATTTTTCAACGACAATTTACAGTCACTCTTCTCTCCCTTTCACCCTCTCATCCCTCTCTCTCTCTCTCTCTTCCTCTTTCTGTTGAACTCATGAAAGAAGATCATGACATATCTGAAGAAGCTCTCTCTCTTTCTCTCTCTCTCTCTCTCTCTCTCTCGTAAGACGAAGATAGTGTGTCGCCGAAAGCTGCAAGCTCGTAGATATATTTGCGTACGGTCGTGAAGCAAATGCGTGTCCGGGACTCTCAACGACGAGAATAGTAACTCCTAGGCGAGTTGGACAGATTTTAGCGATCTTTCAAGTGAAGCCTAGGAAAACTTATGAACAACTTCGACTTCCTGCTTTATAGAAAACTTCATTGCTGTTTTACTCTCATCCCTATCTTGTTCTCTCTTTACAATCTCATCAAATATTGCAATAAAATCTAAATATACAAAATATTTAAATTAACAATTTAAGATTATTTTTAAGTATACATTTGATTTTATTTACATTTGTTTGAAAAAAAACAAAAAGTATTGAGCTTAATATAAAAATAATATCTTAAATAATAATATATAAATTAAAAATTGAATTAAATTATATGTATTATATATAAATTTATTATTAAATATATAAATATAAATTATACATAAATTAAATATATATTAATAATAATTAAATACATATATATATTAAATTATATAATATACAAATAACTATATAAAAGGGTTGCTCAAAACATCTCTACATGTATAATTTCATCATTTAACATAAAAATAAAAATAAACTCACCAAAACTAATTAGATTTTAATTTTTAATATTTAAAATCACTTAAATAAATCTATCTAATTCTAATTCTATTATTAATATATTTAATTCTTTTAAATCTCATACAATTGAATGTGTAATGTACAAATATCTTTATTCTTTTCTCTATTTATTTATTTAGAATTTAATGGAAACCTTGAAAAAATTCAATGTTGTTAGATCAAAAAGACCACTAAAAAATAAGATGATAAATTCTAATATATTATACGAGATAACGGAATCTGAAGTATTATAAACTATGTAAGTGGTAAGGTATAAGGTAAAAGGTAAGATCTTTTCTTGCGTTAGCATCGGGTTTATATACTGAAACTCGATACATAGATGAACTTTCTTCGCCTCGAGTCGATAGATCCTCGATTAAAAACCGTTTATTCGGCACATTTCTTTTTTTTCCCATATCCTATTCTAAATTCCTACCTTATACTTTTAAATTGTCAGTTTAAAGGGCTAAGAACTCTTGCAGTTTTTTTTTTTTTAAATTTAATGAAAAATTTAAATCGAATATTCAAAATGAATACTTGAATTTTAAAATTATTCAAAGACTTTTGATCAAATCTGTAAGATCTTTGAATAAATTATTAAACATTAAAAAAAAAAACATAATTTTCATATTGGACACCATGTATACAATTTGATAGACATTCTATAGAAGTTATGGTATACGTATCGTTAAATCGTAACTTGCACACAGATCGTTCCTAAACTATTTTCGAATTTGATGATTCCTGGTAAGATAAACTAACGTTACATGCACTAACGTCAAATAAAATTTGAGATTTTTTTTCTTTTAAGTCAAACATTTTCTAACGAAGATCTTCGAATCAAAGATGTGCAATTTTTTTCTCAATTATATGAACTACAATGATTATTTTTTTTTTTTTTTTAATACTAAAGTTCATTATATATTTTATGAATTGATTTAAAATTATTTAGACCAATCATCAGACAGGGCTACAGTTGTTGTTTTCATTGGGTTCATCAAGTTTGAAATTTTATTTAAATTGATTGAAATTATTTGGACTCAATCAGACAGGACTGCAATTTTTGTTTTCATTGGGTTCATCGAGTTTGAAATTTTACACAAATTGATTGAAATTATTTGGATCAATTAGATAATTGGAATGTATTATCTATTGTTAAATATCATCTAATGAAGTTTAATAATTAATTTAGAAATATGAAAGAAAATATTCTTTCTCATGATATTAAAGTTAATCTTTCGAACCTTTTGGAGTTCGACACCGTTCTTTCGTTTCAATGGGAGAGAAGTAATCCCGTCATGGAGATACTATAGACCGGTTCTACCAGATAACTTTGTATATTACCTTTGGCTTCTCAAGGCAGAACTGGACACCTACAAATTGTACAATCAAATATCTATCCATCCATCTTTTTAACTAATTTTAGTTCATTTCTATTTTATTGTTGTTATTTAACTTTCGTTGAAAAAAATTTACAAACAAAAAGTTTGCATTTGCAAATTAACTGATTATACATAAATAATAATTTAATTATATAATAATTAAATTAATATAATATAATAAAGTATATTTATAATATAAAAATAAATATTATATAATAATTAAATTAATTATCAATAAAATTAGAAATAAAAATTAGAAAAATTAAAAAAAAATAAAAATAAATTAACTGATAGCAAAAATTATGTTATAAAAATAAAATTACATTCTGATAAAATTTAAAATATATCTGTAAAGTGTTTTTATGTTTATTATTGCATTGCATGCACTTCTAAATGTCTGTGTGCGTGTTCATATTATTACTATTATTATTAATTATTATAATAATTCAAATCCTAATTATCATTGCATGAAATGAAATCTATAACTCATTCAAAAATAACAAAAATTCGCGCAATTCTCTGATTGGTCCAAAAACATTTAACCAAAGAAATCTGAAATTTCATTGGACGTTAGTGCGTGATGTTAATTTTAATTAAAATTAATATACTACAAACAAATTAAAATTTAATAATAAATAAAAACTAATATATAATCTAACCTCGAAATAATGTTTCATTAAAACTTAGCTCACACATTTATAATTCAACATTTATAATTATTTTTTCTGTTCCAAACGAACACTTTGTATAATTGGTACAAGGTCTCGTAAAATCTTACGTTTAAAAACATTCCGATTGATCGATAGAAAGTCTATGACGTTTTTTTCATAGAAAATATTTCATCCTTGTAATAACATTGGAATTATATATGAAACGTTTAAAAAAAAAAAAAAAAGAAAAGAAATACTAAAAGATAAGATTCATAAAGATAAATTCACTTTCGTTCAGTCGTGTCGATTCAAATTACACGTTCGTTTTCGTTCGAATAAATCGATCGGTATGATCTACATCTTACATTAGAATATCCGTTCAAAATACCTATACCACTTGTTACACAACGAAATTAAACTCATAAAAATGATACCAATAATAGAAAAAAAACCAATTTAAATTTCCCGCAAAAAAAAAAAGCGATTTAAATTTCCCGCTACAAATCAGTCATGTCTATTTTTTTATTCTCAAATTAAATAAATTACAAATATTACCAATTAAATAAAACACAGTTCACAAATAAAATTAACATTAAATTAAATTTCAAATTCCTGTAATCTCTAAATTGTGAATAAGTCAAAATTACATGAATTAAATAAAGAAATAAAACACAACAAAAAAAAAAAGATTAAATAAACTTGTTAAAAGGTTGAGACGCTCTATTTGTGTTTCTCTTATCACCTTTTATCTAAAAAAAAAATTATCTAAATGTAATCATTACTTAAAAAATAATAGAAAGTATAAGTGTAAAGATGTAAAGGGAAGTATTTTATTTCTTTTCACTTATTTTTTTTTCTCGACTATTATAATATAACGAGCGTTTTATAGTCAACATCAAAAGATCATAAAGGGGTAACAGATAATCCTTGTCAGGTGACATGCGCAGAAGCAGAAGTAGAAGCAAAAGCTATCAATTAGCGTCTTGGTAATGCATTTGGCTTACTAAGAAAAATAATAGAAGAATACCTAGAGAAGAGAAAAAAAAAAGAAAAAAAAAAGAAAAAAAAGAGAAAGAGAGAAAATAAAATGGATAGACAAAAAAAAAAGATATGTGCGTGTATCAAAGTAATAAAACGTGAAAGAAGATGGAAAGAGACGAACCAAGAGTTGCATAATTGTCATTTTAAACGAAACGCCGGTATACAAGTGTGCTGGTACATATTTACTGATTATATAAGACACCTTCGTGCCTTCTTACGGACACGAAATTGCGACTCTCCGAGAGAGAAAGAGTAAGAGAAATAAAAGAACTAAATCTAACCAAACCAAAACAATAATAATAATAATATTATTGATAATAATAATAATAATAAAAATCAAATATCAACGTCAACAGAATAACGATCGTTCAGAGTCCAACTTCGTACTTCTTGCTTCTTTATTCACATACGAATAAACGTGTACGTGTGTATATACGAGGATGGATTGAAAAGCATCAAGCTTTTACTCTTTTTTCAAAAGTTTAATGTTTACAGTCGAAAAATAAAAATAAACTAGATAGAATAAAAAAATAGTTTCTATGTTAGGTTGAAAAGTTTTCACCACCATCTACGTATATATAAATCCTAAAAGATCTTGTCTCTTTCTTTCTCTCTCTCTCTCTCTCTCTTTCGGAAAAAATGAGAGAGGTTATAAAGGTATGCGAGTCCTCTCACATACATACGATACGTAGAATGCATCGGGAAAGATCGTGTAAAATCGCAAGAGAGTGCAAGCGAGATAGAAAGAGAAAAAGAAAAAGAGAAAGAGAGAAACAACGATATTAGCAATTCGTTACATACTGTTCGCAGTAATCGCATACACACGAGTTTTTATTATACTTATACAATATTTAAATGTATATTTACGTATGCATATATGTCATATATATTCATTCACATACATACATACATACATACATACATACATAAATAGATTTATTAATGTTTGAAAATATAGGTTAAGTCTCCTATGTAAAAATGAAATGTAAATTTACCTTCTCTTTCGCTCTACCCGCGTGTTTTTGCACTGTCTTCGCAATCAGCGCTCCTTTACTCTCGGCCATCTTCGTCCTCGACACTCGCCTTCGTATATGATGTTTATATTAATGATGATGATGATAATGATGATTGTGTAGTGATGGTGTCAACGACGAGGTTATTTCTATCTCGTTTACCGCTTTATATAACCTCTTTATTTAACGAATCACTAAACTCTAATCCGAATATATCGAAGACGAAAAGAGCGGAAACGAATCAGTTCCGCAATCTTACGAACGTACAAACACACGGACGGAGTCGCGAGGAGACACTGACGACCGTCAAGCACGAGAGTTCTCGCGCCGTGGCCATGTTGACTATTGGAACTTCAAAACTCACCGCTTGGCGGCGTTCCTGTTCTCTCGAACGTATCAACCAATAACGTATATTGTAAAAAGTATACCCCGTTCTTCTTCGTAACAATTCGGATTATTTAATTTTCTTATTGTTTTTCATTTTTTTTTCTACGGAATATAACAGAATTTTATAAATATTAAAGTCAAACCTCGGATTGCGAGTAATTTACAAGACTAACAAAAAATTTTGATTTTATATCTTGATATATGAGCAGTACGATTACGCTTGGTAAACGTCAAGCGTATTCGTAGTAAATAAAGTGCGGATTAACTTGTTTAATTTTTACTTAGCATTTTGTATTTTATATCATTTTTATTGTGGAACGTATTATCTGATTTTTTATTACATATTTCTTATGACGAAATTTGCTTTAATATACGAGTACTTTCGATTAGACGCAAATTTTTTGGAATTGATTATGCTTGCAAACCAAGGTTTCATTGAATTTCTTCTTATATATTATATAGGTGTATAATAATACATATCAATTTTTGATTAAATTAACTCGAATGAACGATTATATATCCTAATGACCAACTTACGAAGCTACAGGATCTTCAATTAGGTCATCCAGCACTGTCCACCATACAGGAGAATCAAAACAATCTGCTTGGCATTTAATAGATTTTTAAATACTATTGTTTTATTTAAAAAAATAAAAACAAGTATATTAAGTTATGCTATTGAATCCCCACGAATACGTTCCTGAAGTATTGGTCGTAAATATAAAACAATAATCGAACAAACACGTTAATAAATGTACTAACAAAGTATTGCAAAGAACGAATAAAAAATAAAAACAATTACATATTATATCAATTAATTTAACTAACAATAAATGAATTAAAAAAGAAAAGAAAGAAAGAACAGAGAAATACAAAAGGGGGTTGTAACAACGAAGATGGATAACAGAAAAAGTACAGTAAGTATAATAGAATAGTGTGGTAACGTCACACATCGGGACTCTCAATTAAATTGATTTGTAAAGGGTTTTATTAATTTTTTTCAATGATCTTCTGGAGGATATTACTCGAAATAAACAAACGTGTTATATATAATAAAAATCCACTTCTCAACAACGGAACAGAGGATAGCAGATGATACACAGATTTTAATATATATATATATGTATACATATACATATATATGTATAGAATAAGAGATGAGATAGACAAATTCTCCTTAAATTTTTAAATGGTCTATCCAAAATCGCAATTGACAAAAGTGTATGTTGTGTACGCACGTGTAAAGTTATGTGTGTATGCGTGTGATGTATGTTGAGAAAACGTGTATGCCTGTATGTATATATTTGTTGCGGATCACGCGCGGAATGTTTTCTCTTCTTTTTTCTTTTTCTTATTTCTTTTAATAATTACATATTTATCAATATTAATTAATTATAATTATAATTATATTATCATTATATTATTATTATTATTTTTATTATTATTATTTATATATTATATTATATTATATTATTTTATATTTTATTATTTATAATTTAATTTTTATCCTCTTTGTCCTTTTTTCTTCTGCATCTTGTTGTTATTTTTATTATTATTATTTATAAGTTAAATTGTGTGTTTGTGTGAATATTTTTAATATATATATATATATATACATATATCTATACGTATATGTATATGTATATGTATATTTCGCACATCATTCTTCGCGCGAGCCGCAATTTATAAATTGCAGATCGGGAATATTTTATATTTAGTTTCTTATTTATTTTATCTTTCTTTCTTTCTTTTGAATATTTTTTTTTCTTCCTCATTGTTATTTTTTTGTTTACTTGTTTTTATTATTATTATTATTATTTCTTTTTTTTTTTTACTTTTGGACCTGTACACACGTCTCATATATACTCATTGTACCTAATATAAATTTGCTTTAGTCTTGGTAAAATTGGATAAGGCCATAACCAAACTGGCGACAAAGAGGCGCCAGATCCTCGACTCTCTATATTCATAATTTTTTTTATTTTTTTTTTTTAATTTTTTATTTATCTCTCTCTCTCTCATTCTTTCTTTCTTTTAATCTCTCACACTCTTTCTCTACTTGTGTTACACAGTCTCATTATTAACTACATACAATCTTTCTCACATCTGTGTGTTTGTTTTATTTATTTTAATTTTTAACTCATTCGTAATTTTAATTTTCATTTTCATTTTCATTTTCATTTGTAAAGGACAAAGATTTTCCCATTTTTCCTGTCTTTTTGTATTTTGCAAATATTACTATTATTACATCGAGAAAGTGCGAAAGCACGAATGCAAATTTTTCATTTCTTTCTTTCAAAATCACACACACACATATATAAATATATATATATGTATAGGCAATAATTTAATAATTAATATGATCTTATAAATATTCATTATCTTTCGCACTTATGGTAATAAAAGAGAAGTCTCAGCACAGTGGTAACATTAGAGACAGGAATTAAAGGCGAATCATCATCATTATCAACATGATCATTATCATTTATATTTATTATTATTATTATTTATTCGTGCCACATATGTATTTATTACGACGCAGTCGATCTCTTGATAGAAACCGTCTGTTGTAGGATTTTCGGAGATCTCATGTTCGCATGAATAATTTTATTTATTTCTATATATATATATGACTTAACTGGTAATTACGAAAGGGGTGGGGTCTATAAAATTTAATTTATTTTATTTTTTCTTTAATTAATTTATTGCGTTATTTATATGGCAAATGACTTAATTATACGAATTACGCAATAAACTAATTCTATTGTTAATTTGTAACATTTAGATCCCACATTTTCCTAATCACCGACTTGTATAGTAATAAATCTACAAAATAATATATATATATATTTATATATATATTAATTGATATCATGTAAAAAAGAAGAGAAAACAAATTCGAAGAAATGGATCGTTGAGTTGCAAAAATGGGGTAAAGGGTTGATATTGAGTTGGAGGGATTGTTCGGTAAAAAATAAATACACTAGTAAAAATGTAGTATTACGTAAAAATACACGTTTGTTGTGAAAGAAACTTGATCGACAAAAAAAAACCACTTAGTTTTATATCGCTCTCAACCTTTATTATTATAACTATTATTAATAATATTTCACTTATTGAACGCGTTAACATATGGAAGAGTAAAAAGTAGGAGATTTTAAGAGGGTAAGAGGGGTAGTACAAGTAAGAGGAAGGGCTAGAAAATAAAAAAATTCATAAATAAAAAATAAAAATGATAATCTCATTAATTATACCGAAATTATTATCGAAATATTCTTTCGAAGATTTGATTTATATTATTATATCGATGCAGGCCGTATGATGTGATTTGAATATATGTTTGTTGTTTATTTGTGTGATGTGTATACGCTCATGTGTGTTTTGTGTGTACATCATGTTTACGCATAGTATATTCTGATTTATATATTTAAAATAAAATAATTTCTTTTATTTTATTTATTTTTTTTTCTTTGCTTTCTTTCTGTTAGTTATTGTTGATTTTTTTCATTTTTTTTTTTTTTCATTTCATTCCTTTTATATGCATTGCATTATTTGAATTCGAATGATTATCGAAACGCACGTACACAAATACATAAATACATACGTAATTAAGTGTTCGTGAGAGAAAAAGACAACGTGACCAATTTATTTTTTTCCCTTTTTCTTTCGTATTATAAATCGTTACGACATCATTGTTTTTATTATAAACATAGTGTTAATCTTGATTTTATTTTTATTTTTTTTTTTTTTTAAGTCTGATTAAATCGTCATCGAGAGAATTGTTGTCGTTAATAATTTTGTTTTTTTTGACAATGATTAATAAAACGCTCGAAAGCTTTCATCGTTATCCGAGTGATAAGAGAAAATATAAATATCTAATGTTCTTTTCTTTTATCATTATCATTATCATTATCATTAATAATATTATTTTTGTTTATTTTATCACTATCATTAATTTATCATTAACATTATCATTATCATAATTATTTTCTTTCCTCGTAAAAGAATTTCACTTCCGTGAATTCGTATATATATGTATGTATATTATTTTTTTCTCTCTCTTTCTCTGTATATATGTATATACATATATATATTTACGAATAATATTTGTATTGTGAAATGTGTTACGAAGCTCGATTAGAAATGAGCACACAATTTTATAATAATATAATTATCTTATATAATCCAAATTACTTTTTTTTTTCTTTTTTTTAATCATTAATGTAACTTTTGTTATCCTTTTTTTTTACATTCATTCGTTCATTTTTCATTTATTTATTATTTATTTAATTATTTATTTATTTTCTGTTCCAAAAATCATCACAAGAGATAATGCATCATATAGATCAAACATCATCTCTCTAATTGTGTATGGTTGTGTGTAAACCTGTACAAAAGTTGTTCCTCGTTTACTCTCTCTCTCTCTCTCTCTCTCTCTCTCTCTTCTTTCACTCTCTCTCTCTCACTCGCTCTCTCTCTTTCTCTCGTTCTTTCTTTCTCTCTCTCTCTTTCTCTCTATACTTATATTCATGTTACAATATATAATAATATTAATAATAATAATGTATATTTAAAATGTAACTTATATAACCTTATTACTGATTAACGATGATGACTGCATTCCAGCGTGACCAGCCTTTGGCCGATTGGAGCTAACAGACAAATATGCTCCTTCAAGTGTAAAACCACCCTCGTGTTCTTGTCTTGATCCCCTTACTCTCTCCCCCACCCTTCCTCCCAATCTCCTCTCTCTCTCTCTCTATTTCCATCTTCGAGTTCTGTGTTAATTATCAAACCATCATCCCATTTCCCTGATCTACCCCATCCACCCATACGCATTATGCAACACCACTAATACTCTAACTATATACTCTATATAAAATATCGTTAGTATAACTAAAACGTGCTGTGTCTAGCTGGAATGCAGTCCTATTTTAATTATTTTAATGTTATCATAGTTATTATAAATTCCATTTCACATTATATAGCCATCCTCAAAATTCTAATTCTTCGTCTTGTTTTCTCATCATTAATCTGCGTTAAATCTGTTTCATCTAATATGTTGTCTCGTAATTTTGTTTTTTTGTTCTCTTCTTAATCCTGTTGCTGTTGTTTCTTTCTTTCTTCTACTCTTTCATACTTTCTTTCATTTCTTCCTTTCTTCTTTATTTTTTGTTCACAAACAAAATGATTATTCAGTCAATAATTTATCAATAAATTCATCACACCACTACTATAACTGTAGTCTCTCTCTTTCTCTCTCTTTGTCATTGGTCGGTCAATTTTACGTTTGATTTCCAGCTGTGTTTTTTTTTCTTCTACTCTCTTTCTCTCTCTCTCTCTCTCTCTCTCTCTCTCTTTCTCTTTACCATGTGTTGTAATTATTGTTAATATTTATAAGAATTTTACACTCATTTAAAAGCAATATCAGATGCCAGTTCTTCTTTTCTTAGGATTCTCTAGTTCCCGGACTCCCCGTCTTCGTGTTTTCTTTTCTTTCCACGAACTTGAGAAGCTGCTTCTAGATAAAGAAAAATAAACTTTTTGAAAATTATCGAAGTCTTCGCTGGAATGTAGTTATGTTATGTGCACATTCATTATGGAATCAATTTAAAATAAGTGATTTGGTAATAACTACAGGTTACTGAATGTTCAACAGCAAAACAAAATCCAAATATCAGAAGTGGTATTGCGACCATTTTAAAATAATTCCTTAAAGAGATGTGCATATTATAAAATAATATTTTTACCTTGTTCCTTACCTTGTTCAAGTTCAAATATATTATAATCATAATCATCTACCTCCTCCTCCTCCTCCTCTCCCTCTTCCTCTTCCTCTTCACCCACGTAATCTTCCTCGTCGCTTTCGTCCTACGATGAAAAAAATTACAGTAAGATTGAATTTGTATAAATCTAAAAGTAAATCTTTGGAAAAAGAAATATCTGAAACTTGCCTCAAGGTTATTCTGATAGACTGCAGCTAAACCTTTCAAATAACCGTCTTCTTCTTCGTCGGAAACTGTAAAACAACATTAAAATAATACATTATTTTATTCTCATTTCTGTTATAGTATAGCTAAATCATTTTTTACTCACCATCCTCACTATCTTCTTCATTCACCTCTCCATCTCCATCTTCGTTACCATTAACTTCGTCATCGTCTGTGTCTTCAACTTCATAGTCATCCTTGTCGAAACTAAAATTATATAGACAAGTAAAGGAATATTTTCCTTAATTGGAGAGTATCTAAATAAATAAAATAATAAATTATTATACTTTAATATCGTACCCATCTAAATATCGTAGATTCGGTAAAAGACTAAAGATTTTCTCTTTGTAATTATCAACATTTGTTACTTCATTGTTAAAGAGATCTAAATATTTCAAATTCTTGAATTCCTTCTGCAATATAATACAAAAATTATGAATATTATTATATCAACAAAATATATCATATGCACATAAACAAAAATAACTTACCAATGGTTGAATGGTGTCAATATCTTTGATTTTATTCCCACTAAGATTAAGATGATTTATTTGGGGACTCTGATGCAAAAGATTTAAACCTCCAGAAATCCTGTTGTCGCTTAATTCCAGCTGGACAAAAAACAAAATATAATGAAAATGTAATATGAAATATAATACATACATAGAAAGATATAAATAAATTTTATATTGTGCAACTATTATTTACCTTTTTTAAATTGGGTAACTTTGGAAAACCTTTTAGGCTAGTAAGACCCACATTGATAAGACTCAATACTTCTAAAGCGACAAATTCATCAGTCAGGCCAGCAATAAGTGTACTTCGACAATTGTCCAATACCAAATCTTTGATCTAGAAAAAATAGAATACATATTTTACTTACTATATGAAAACAAAAGAAAATAATACTAATAATACACAGACATAATCCCATTAGAATAAAATAAAATAAAATAAAATAAATAAGTTTTAGTCGTTGGTATTCGAACGACCGATAAGCTTTCGCGGGAGAAGATGGGCTATTTTATTGATCGGAGAAAGAGAGAGAAGAGAGAAAGGCAAAAGAGGGTGCACAAGAGAAGAGGGTGGAAGAAGAGAACGAGGAACATAACGGAAAGGAGTAGGTAATGGAGAAGTAGGAGTAAAAAGGGTCTGTAAGAGAAGGAAGGAAGGAAGGTAGGTAGGCAGAAAGAAAGGGGTATATGAAGGGATCGAATGAGATGTAATATGGGGAAAAGGAGGCAAGGAAAGAGGGGTAGAAAGCAAGCCGCGGAGAATGCATATAGTAGTGCGTCGTTGTCCTCCTCGTCCTCTCTTTCTCATCTTATTTAGCGACATGAGGGAACAGCCGGCACGCGTTGCTAACGAATCCGCGTATTTCCTCCTTAAGAGCAAAAAACAAAAACATAGACAAGGGAGGATGTGCTACTTGACTTTATTATATACAATATATTCATTCTTTCGATATTCAATAAAATATAACAAACAAATAGCTTAAATGTCAACGTCACAAACAATGATTTTTTCAAAATTCCTGCCAGTTTCCCCCCGAATTAGAAACAATTGAAGTTTTATTTAAAAATAACAAAACGTGTTATCTTATAGATTGGAATATTTATGAAAATAAATTAAAAATAGTTCTCTTTATTTTATTTTATTTTATTGGGATCGGAAAAAGTTAAATTGACAAATATTTATTAGGAGTATAGACGGAAGAAGAGGTGTTAAGTTGCGCGGGGCATTTAAAGGGACATCTACATCACTAGTATCATTATCATCATCATCTACGTCACAAGGAACATGCGTAAGAGCAAAACGCCCACGCGCGCGTCTTCGAAACGCATGCCGGGTTAAAGAGATCTCGAATATTTCGAAGAGGAACAACACTAGTGTCTAGGTGTTGCATACCATACGTCTCTCATCGATATATGTCAAAATAAAATGTTAAATAATTTTCGAGAAGTTAAATTTTGATCTACGTAAATAAACATGAAGAATTTTTATTCCACCCCTTCCTCCTTCCAAAAAAAAAAATAAGGAAATAAATAAGGTATATATTTTAAGTATTATGTATGTGTGTATATATATACATAAGCAGATGCAATTTGAGCGCGTCGATCGTCGATGATCGTCACAACTATATGGCGGTCGAATGGACTCGTCCAATATGGCCGCCGCCATACAAGCGGCGATCGTTGACACGTAATAACAACGACGACGACACGTCGACGATGACGACGAGGCAACAGCAGCAACAAGGCCACACCACCGAATAATAATTGACATTTTACACGTGTTCTTTTATTTCTTTTTTACGTTAAAAATTTGATACGATTGAAAATAAAACGAATAAGTATTTTGATTGAGTAAAAATTAACGGTTGCAAGCAACGGTAAGGGATCAAGTCTGAAAGAGAACACTGTACAATTCGACGACGACGCAGCAACAACAATGGCGACCGTGAATTGGTGCGTCACTTTTGTATGTGTGTAGTGCGCGCGTTCGCACGTGTGTGTGTGCGCGCGCGCACCTACCCATTTCTAGTTTGTTCTTCACGACGCTCGTGTACGTTCTTTCACCGGTGTGTGTGGGTGTATACCGGCCACCTCCTCGCCTCGTGGTTTTTCTCTCTTTCCTTTTCTCTTTTTCTTTTTCTTTCTCTTTTTTACCGTTCTCGATATAATTGATTTATATAATACTACGCAACCACACCAGGATGTGTACGTACAAACAAAAAAACATGTAACTAAATATATTTATTAATTTTCCAGATTCTCTTTTCCCTCTCTTCCTCTTGTAATTTTGTCTTTTCACTGCTTATATATAACCTAATTTATTTTATTTTATATTATTTTAATGCCTTAATTGCAATCTGATGGCACACCTGACAAAGAATATTCCACCATATTTAATTTTTACTCCAATTTCACGTGCTCTAATTTTCGATTCCTTTTTCAAAAATTACGAAAACTTGGCACACCCGATACAAACAAAGAAAAACAATGTTATACATATCTTTTAATACCCCCTTTTTTTTCAAATTCTAATCCAACATTATCTAGGTTCTTTTGCTCTATTTTTTCAAAATTTACCGAAAGCTGATAAGCGTATAAAAAAAGAAAAAATAATCGTCCATATTTTTTTCTCGATATCAATTCTACCGATTGGTATCGATCGATACGACAGATTAAATGTGAAAATAGTAACACATGTCCTTCGTGTCGTAATACATAACCTGATTATAAATTATATACTTATTATATACATATTATTATTATTATTATTATTATTATTATTATTATATGCTAGAATTAAAACAAGAAAAAAAAAGTAATATGTAAATTCAAAAAGACTATTTATATATTGATGAGAAAGATGTTCTCAAAAAGAAGATCGAAAGTTTTCGAAGTTCACGACATGGACTACGACGTGAAACGTAAGTACGTTGTGATGATTATAGTAAGCTCAAGGTTTCACGTCTCTTTTATATACTATCGACTCCGGAACATATATTCATTCTCTCTCTCTCTCTCTCTCTCTCTCACCTCTCTTTTTCTCTCTATTGCATAATACACATATCCATACATATGTTTGTTATGTGTTATATACATAGTATTATCTATGTTACTCGTTGTAAAATTAACAATAATAATAATAGTAATAATAATATAACAAAAACATCAATAATAATAATAATAATAATAATAATAATAATAATAATAATAATAATAATAAAATTATTTACGAGCTGGTGGAACGCCTGATAAGAGACTTGAATGATCGTCCATATTTATTTCTTTTTACTCCAATTCCGTTTCCTAATTTTTGCTTTCTTTTTCTAAAATTACGAAAAATTATAAATAATATTAATATCAAATATTATTATTATTATTATTATTATTATTATTACAAATAAAAAGAGTACCAAAATATGTCTACGTGTTCACATATGTTGTGTCACACGTAACCTCAAAAAGAGACACCATTTTGTAAATTGGACTTTATCGTCTTATCATTAAAAAAAAAAAATAATCATAAGAATAAATGTCATCACGAAAAAATAGATATAGAGATAGAGAGAGAGAAAGAGAAAGAAAAAGGAAGAGAGAGAGAGAGAGAGAGAGAAATAATGAAAGATAGAGTGCAATATCGTCGTCTTATGTCGTCGTAGGCGACGATGGTTGGTAGCAGGAGCGGACACTGTTATGGTTAGCCGGTTTGAAAAGAAGGGCTGTATTACGTATTCCGTTCTAACATGACATACAAATACTCTCCAAGTTGTAACACTCTAACCATATCACGAAAATTATAAGACAATTTTAATCTATTCCAACGATATTTTGTTTTTTGAACTATCACTGTAATTAAATGGAAAATCAAAACAAAAGATAATATTATATATCTGTTAACGTAAATAATATGTTAACAAAGTATTTAACGAATTTTAATAGATATATTTTAAATAATTAATTTATCCAAAAATGTAGAAACGTTTGACATCATTTTTGTATGATTTGTTAAGATTAATAAATAAATATTTTTAGAAATATACAAATTGTTCATTTTAGAATAATTAATTTAATCTGACATATATGTGCTATGACGTTACACCTCAGAAATGGATTCAGTTGAATTTGTTTGAAATGACGAGTAAACAAATTTTGTTCGATCATCTAAATTTTCTGTCACAATAGATTTGAAACTTTCTTATTTTCATTCTTTAATTATTTTTCTCTTTAAAAAAACATGAAAGTAAATATATGTATATCGTTCTACTACTATTACTCGCGTGCCAAACGTCACGTTCTTCTCTTTCTCTCTCTCTCGGAAGAAGTATTACGACAATCGTGGTGGTCCTACAAACCGTTTAGGGTCAACAAACGAAAATTGAAGAAGATGACGATGATGCACTCTGGTGGAAATTTTAGAAACTATAAAAAGATAACAAAAAAAACAAACAAAAGAAAAAGGGTTTTTAAAAATGTGAGATCGATGTAATCAAAAGAAATAAAATGTATGAGTTTAAAAAAAAGAAAGAGAGAGAGAGAGAGAGAAAAAAGAGAGAAAAATAAAAAGGTATAAAAATAGAAAAGAAGAAGAGGTAAAAGAAATAGAAATAGAAGTAGAAAATAGTTTCTTATCTACGGAATAAACTAGCAACGCGCATTTTAGAAAATTTGTTTCTTCGATAATCCGCCATTAGGAAAGTCAACGCGACGCACTTATCACTACACGAGCTATAATATATATGTATGTGTGTGTATACGCGCGTGGTAAATATAGAAAGAAATAGAGATAGTTTTACAAATTAGTAGTACAATTGACAAATAACGTAAAGAAAATAGAAAAAATATATGTAATAAAAAAACAAGAAGAGAATAAAATAAAAATAAATAAACTATTACTACGAGCGCCGGCGTGTGTTTGTCCATCGATTAAACACATTTTACTTTCCACGCGCCATACGTTTCACAAAACACAAACACACACAACTTAACGCGCACACACGTAGAGAGAAGTAGAAGAAGAAATAAATGCATAACTTAAAACGACAATGTGACGTTGTCCGTTCTTTTTACCTCGAGAAATATTATTCATGAGAAAACATCATTCCATATATATTATTATTTCGTCTAATTATTATAAAAATGATTAGAAAATAGAAGGGAAGAGGGAAAATGAATTGAAATTAAATGAAATCGAATAAAGTGAATTCTATCATATTCGGAAAAGTTCGGGGAAATGTAAGCAAGTAATTGGTCGAAGGAGTTCGTTCGGTTGGACTCGATCGACCAATCAACGGCCGCTCTCTACGCCGATTTTTCTCACGCAAATGGCCGATCGCGTTACGCGCCGATACTACTAAGTAAGTATATATATATATATATATAAGTAAATAAGTACTATGACCGAACTAATGAGGTATACGTAATACATATGTAAATATACATAATAAGTATTTTTGAACACTTAGCTAAATGTGTTTTATCTTATTAAAACAAATAAAACAAACAAATGAATAAAAATAAATTTAAATTCAAAGAATTTCATTCAATAAAATTTAGTAATAAATACATAAATAAATAGAGAAAGAAAAGATATATATATATATATATATATATATATAAATAAAAAAAAAGAGAGAGAGAAGCATACGTAGAAAGTAAAGAAAATAGAAAAGAAAAGAAAAATCACAAATAAAAAAGAGAAAGATAGATAGAAGGAGGAATATATATCGAAAAACATTGGTGTTCGTTCGAGAGGGAAGCGGCACGCCATGCTTGTCGTTCCTCGCGTCTCGTTGGCACAGTGAAAAAAAAGAGAAAGAAATAGAAAACAGATATTACAGATGGAAAAAAATACAAGAGAAAGAGAGAGAGATAGAGAGAGAAAATCTCATGTCGGTTAGCAGCAGCTAGGAGACGCTTTGTCGGCGCTCGCTCTTCGAGACCGACCGTGAAGCCACGCGGTCAGAAGCGGCGAACTAGTCACGAGAAAACACTGTGCTTTGGTTCTTTGCATTCTCCAAAGTTAAAGTTGAGGATAAAAGACAGAAAGAGAGAAAGCTAGAATCTTGTTGAGAGACCATGCTCTTGTTTCTCTATAATAACAAGATGATTACTATGATGACAATTATGAAAACAACAACGATGACGATGATCACGATATGATGATGATGATGATGATGATAGTGATGGTGGTGATGGTATTGATGATGAAGTTGATGATAATGATGATGACGATGACGATGATGATGACGATGACGATGATGATGACGTTGACGATGACGACGACGAAGACGATAATATGATGATGATGATGATGATGATGATGATGATGATGATGATGATGATGATGATGATCATTGCAATATCACTACAATGACGACGAAGACGAGAATATTCGTATATAACTCTATCTTTCTTTTTCTTTCCTACCAAACATCTACTATATCTGTTTTTCACACGTAAATCTCTCCTCGAAATTACACGCACATATCATCATTGTGATCATCATGATCATCATGATCATAAAGAAACACATAGTATATCGTGAACAAGACCATGTTTCTATTTGATTATCTTTCTATTTCTATTTTACACGCTTTAGGTTAAACACATTTGGTAAATATATATGAAAAAGAAAAAGAAAAGAAAGGAAGCAACGTAAGGCACGCAACGCAACGCAACGTAGCGCAGCACAATGCAACGCAACGCGCAATAAAATAAATATGTAGTTTATTAAATTCGGCTTACGTCGGCAGGTTTTCTGCCCCGCTTCTCAAGATGAATCCGCTTTTCCATGACCGGTAGATCCTCTTCTCTTTAATAAATTTCCTTAACACCAGCTCTCTCTCACTGCACCTTCTCTTTCCTGCGTCGCAACAACTACCCGCAACCTTGCTTTCAAACCGGGAATATGACGGACGGACATCCACGGTCGGTCACTACCACTCGGACAGAGCTACCAGAGTTACTGTGGAGCCAACCCAACGGCGGTTCGATTCTGTGCCCTAGGCCCCTATACTTCTCTTCCACTCTTTCTTTCTTTCTATCTTTCTATCTATCTATCTATCTATCTATCTATCTATCTATCTATCTATTTCTCTTTCTTTCCTTCCTTTCTTCTTTCTCTATCTATCTTATTCTCCCTTCTCACCCTCTCTTATTCTTTCGGCCTAACATTATCTCTTTTCATCGAAACTCTGTCTCCTTTTTACTCTTAAGTACGGAGTAATACTGGTCCCCCACGCGACACCAGCCGACAAGGTGGGAAACGAACACATGCTGGAACTACTTTCAAAACCACCAATCACCTATCTCTGTTCTCGTGCCCCCCTGATTGACGCGACGCCTAGCAACACAATTCACGTACTTTCAAATTCTCTATATTTCCTTTTCTCATTTGGCGCACTTTTTGAATTCTCTTATTGTTATTTATCTAATCTTATTTTGTTTTCGAACTTTGAACAACAATTCATCGAACCTTACGATTTATGATACGAATATTAATGTGATTATATTATTTGTCTTTTCTTTTTTCTTATTTTTTCATATAACTATCTTTTCGAATATAATTTCAATCGAATTCAATTTTATTTCAAATTTTCGATCGAATGACATAATCGTTCTGATCCATTGCGGTCTATAATCATAATTTTTATTTTTTTTATATTTTTTTCTCTAATCAATAAATGTAATCAATAAAATGTAAATTTGATCTGTAAAAATTTGTCGATCAAGGATTATTGTAGGAAATGTTGAGGGGAAAAAAGTAAATAAATCTATCGAACGTTATCCTTTGATTTTGATTTGAAATATTAGCAATTCCTACGTCCCTGTGTATACGCAGTTGATTCCTCACGAAGGGTTGAGAGATCAATATGCGCTCATTGATTGCACCGATAGCTCTACTGCGTCGGCTTCGTTGTTACCTTCTTTCTTAACCGTTAGATACGAAATACCTACTTACCTATCTACTATTTTACATCCTAACATACATTTCCATCTGATTTACATCGTAAATATTTTCGATATTAATTTGACTATTTTAGTTCCTAAAAAAACAGTAATCATCTTGTTTTTTTCTTTCAAATTATCAAATGCATTCGAAAAATTAATTGAAATACAAATTGTTTTCTACGTTATTGTCATAAGATAGGATTATCTTTTGTTTGTTTATTTATTCTGTTTGTTTTTTGTGAAACAATATACCATTGTCGGTAATAAATTTCCATAAGTTTCTAACCTCTAATTTTTAAACTCGTTTATGTCTTTGAAACGGATTAGTAGAACTAAAAGGGTATTCGAACATTTGTAAGTATTCATCTTGTCGATATAATGTATATGCATTATGTTATCTATAAGATATATTATTTTAGGATGATATCTAACGATAAGATTGAATTATATGAAATTTTTCATATTTAATATGAATTTAATATATATTAATATCGAATTAAGATAAAACGTTAGTTTATTAATGGTTATATTTTGAAATAAGATTGTTAATTGACCTTACACTGAAACGTAGTATTGTATGACTAACTGTAAAAATAGATTCTCGTTGATTAATCGTCATCTTTCTTAAGATTTATCAACTTGGGCACTGCTATTTCAAGTGCATTATAGGATTTCAAATTTAAAGATAAAACAATAATATTTTTTGAAATCGATTTAACTGAAATTCTAAAATTTGGATTAACTAAATAAATAAATGGAAACTCTATTTTATTTTGTAAAAAAATATTGTGCATTTATGCATATACAAATTTATTGTAAATATTTGTATATCGTGTAAAAAATAAATCAAACGATTGGATTTAACTTACAAAATATCAACAATTTTAGGAAAAAAACTTCAATTCATTTTATCTCATACATTAAATCGTTAAATAGTTTGAAGAAAATGAAATTAATATTTTTCATTTAACGTTAAAGATTTAATTTTGTATTTTTGTCGTATCACAAATTGAATCTTTTCTTCTTGTTTTAAAAATGAATTACAACGCTAAAATGGAGTATAAATGATTATAATCTAATTACTTTTATCAACTAAAAATTATTTTATATTAATACAGCAAACAGTATATTTCTAAACTCATTAACTTTAAATGAATATTATTTACAATACCGTGTTTCGAAAGATCTTGTTTGCCAAAAAAAAAAAAATATAAACGATAATGTATGTAATAAAATATATATACAAAAAAAAAAAAAGAAAAGAAAAGATTATTTACAAATGTACGATTATGCTTACACATACATAAATCATTAACTTATACAATAGTAATTATATTACTTAATAAAATAAACGCTTGAGATAATCGTAGTTTGACGACGATGAAAAAAATTCGAAAATTTGTATATATTTATTATTTACATTACATTATTTAATTGTGAGCTCTTCAATGATTTATTTTTTAAATAAATTCTTTACATAAGTACTGACGGATGATTCCAATAAAATTATGAAGTGAAATAAAATTTAAAAGAAAAAAAAATGAAAAGAAAATTAAAAGAAGAAGAAGAAAAAAAGAAATTTATAGATAAAAAGTTCAATTAAATTACATAAGTAAAATCTTTGATTTTGTACATCGTCTCATAATGCATTGTATGCATTACGTAAAAAAAAAAAAAAGAAAAGAGAGGATTAAACGCGTTCGAAATTTTAAATTTGACTAAAAATCTGGATTAATGTTTGTCATTGTCTATTTACTAAGGTCTCCGAACTTAAACCAGTAATATGATCAGTAAGAAATTTTTTACGTTTAATATACTGTGAAGGCGCTGCTCTTATTTGTATATGACAAACAGTGTTGGTTTTGTCATCCTGAACAATGCTCTTTAAATTTGTCTTCTTACCTAAGACGTTAGATTCCAAAGAGGAATTTTTTCGTTTGTGATGATGATAATGATAATGATGATGAGGATTATTTATTTCTTGTTTCACTGGTGCAAAAAACGAGCGAGTTTTACGTGGTTGGTAATCTGGTGTTGCTTGCATCCTTTCTAACGCTGTACGCAAAGGTAACAAACCAACCGCAAACGGGATTTCACCGTTTGGTCTGTAATCGGTTAAATCCATGATACCACTGCTATGTTCCATGATATCCGACATATCACCCCATAAAGCTCGATTGATTTGACCTACATTGTTTTGTTGGAAACCAGACGACAATTCCATGGAAATGTTCATCTTATCTATGTTGTCATCGACCGTCGTCATTTCGCACTTAACTTTGTTACTCGTTTTAGATTTTGAATCGGATTTATTAATGGTCTTCTTGATTTGAGTTTTGGAAGAATTTTTGGTAGCATGTAGATTGTTCAAACATTTTCTATTGTCTCGTGTAATGTTATTGACGTTTTGATCCATTGCTTTTCGACCACTTTTCTTTATCTTACGTTTTCTTTTAGAAAAAGATTCCATTTTGCTGGGAATATTAGTTTTATCTAAAAGTTTCTTGGTTACTATAGATTTTTTTAATGTTATAGCATTGTTGGTTAAATCTTCACTTTCTTGTTGGTTCAATCTAACGCTTCTCCTAAGAACCGGTTTTTCTATTTGTTGTACTTTGTCGTTTATGACTTGAAAATTAAAATCTTGTTTATTAACATTATTTTTACTTATATTAAAGATATTAGTATTTTCATTAAAATCCTTACATTTCATTAAAGATCGTTGCTCATTTATCATACCTTCTGCCACAGATTGCATATATTCACTATCTAAACCAAAAAGATATTCAGCACATTCCATATCCAGGGGTGTTAATAGTGTAACCGGTATACTATTACTAGACTGCACATCCGATAAATCAATAGAATTAGTAGAAGATACCGCATTGGTATCATTTGGTACCAAATTGTTTAGGTGTGTTAATTCATCCTTTGTATTGATCACTGGTTTTCGCTTTTTATGTGTATAAACTTTGATACATTTACCTATTTTATCAGGCGTATTATCGATCACATTTTGTGCGACATCTAATTTAATATCTTGGGCACACTGCGGCAAGGTTGCTGAATATTTCTTAGATACTGTTAAATCTAAAACATCACAGCACTGTTCATATAATAAAGGTTTAACTTCTATATCTTTATCTAAAGTTTCATCATTTATCTTAACATTATTCATTTTTATATAATTATTTAATCTTTCCTTATCGTGTATTGATTTATTATACGATTCGTCTTGAATATTTTCTTTATGATCTTTCATTAATACATTTTCTATTAAAGAAGGTTCTACTGTTTCTTTACTTAAATCTAAAATTTCCTCATTTGTTTTCATATTACTCATCTTTTTATGATAATTCTCTAAACTTTCTTTGTCGTTTATTAATATAGCACACAACTTATCTTGTGTATTTTCTTTAAAACCTTCCGTTAATAAAGTATTCGTAGTATTATTCTGTTGTATGTTGTTATTTTCGCTATCGTACGAATCTTCGTATAACTCGTGTTTAAAAGTATTATCAAAATTATATTTTGTACTAGTTAGATCATTTTTTGCGTTAACGTAACAATGTTTTTCAACGTTATTATTATTATTATTATTATTATTATTATTAATATATGATTCGTTATCACTTTTATGCAATTGAGTTACACTTTCAGTAGTGCTGCTATAATTTTGTGTTTTCATTACCGTGTCTATTATACATGCCAACTCCTTTATCTAGATAAATRAAAAAAAAAAAAAAAAAAAAAAAAA